TTATTTTAGAACGAGTGTTGCCACAATGCTGCAATGCAGAGAAATAAAACAGACACAGCAGAAAGCAGATAGCGAGTTTCTGAAGAAGGGTCCCGACCCGAAACGTCAGCTTTCCTGCTCCTCTGATGCTGCCTGGCCTGCTGTGTTCCTCCAGCTCCACACTGTGTTATCTCAGACTCCAGCATCGGCAGCTCTTACTATCTCTGAGTGAGTTATAACCCCACTGCGAAGCCCCCATTTCTGAAGAAGGGTCCTGACCCGAAACATCAACTCTCCTGCTCCTCTGATGCTGCCTGGCCTGCTGTGTTCATCCAGCTCCACACTGTGTTATCTCTGCAGTTCTTGCTATCTCACAGGTAGTGGGTCACTAGGCCTGGCCACTCAGCCCAGGGTGAACGTCCTTTGGCCAAACAGAATCTTAGGAATTGGACGCTCTCTTTGATGCGGAGTTGGCGGAGAGATTTGCGAGACCCCTCTGAGGGAGCGAGGCTTTATTAACTTTGAGGTTTTGCACTCGAGGAGAGATGAGAGGATGGGATCATCCCCACTTGACTCGAAAGAATCCCCCCAGTCGGCTAGGAGCAGGGTCTCAGAAGCGTTGTCTCCGCTTCGGTGCAAAAATGAGGTGTCTCAGGGGAATCAGTTTTGTCTGTAAAAGCCCCATCTCCACCCTTGCACCATTGGTCCATTGGTCAGTGACACCTCCCCTCTCCCCTGTGACCTTTCACCCCTCCACCCCCTGACTCATGCAATAGCCCCAGAGGTGAAAAAAAAACTCAAATAGAAAGCAGCAAGGCGGGGATTTGGGATTAGCAATCTGACCTGGAGGTCCATGTGAGACCCCGGGCCACTGGGCCTTGGCATTTTTCCGACCAGTCGGAAAACTGAGGTTGATTGGGAGATTCCCAAGTGTCAGTCAACAGGACTTCGACCCCGTCCTGCTGTTAATCTCCACACAGCCAGCCTTTGCAGAACACGACAGACTGTCTTCATCCTCCTTATCCCTTACGGTCCAATGCTACTGGACTGATTTCGGAGACTGGGGTTAGAAATCCCAGACTCACAGCAGAAAATTGTAACAGTACTGTGCAACCTCTCTGCTGCTGATGGGGAAATTACTCATTGATGTTTCGTTTCATGGACACATAGCAGGAGCAGGCCATTCGGCCCTTCGAGCCTACACCACCATTCAATAGGATCATGGCTGACCATGCAATCCCAGTATCCCATTCCCGCTTTCTCTCCATACCCCTTGATCCCTTTAGAAGCAAGGGCCACATCCAACCCCCTCTTGAATATATCTAACAAACTGGCTCCCAACAGCTTCCTGTGGGAGAGAATTCCACAGGCTCACAGCTCACTGATCGAAGAAATTCTTCCTCATCTCAGTCCCTTAGACTGTGACTAGTTCTGGACTTCTTCAACATCGGGGACTTTCTTCTTGCATCCAACCTGTCCAATCCCATCAGGATTTTATATGTTTCTGTGAGGCCATCCTTCATTCTTCTAAATTCCAGTGAGTACAAGCCAACTTGATCCAGGTTTGTGCTAGAATGTTAGATATTCCCCATGCTGCCCTCTCCAATAGACCCCTGTTAACCTGCATTTGCTTTCTTTCTCTGTAAAATGCCCAATGCAGACTCAGAGTGGCCACTTTTTGCAGTTTAACAATGCCTTGACAGACCAATTTCTTCTGTCACACTAAACCAGAATGCGTTAAGTCTATCTACTCAAGCAGAGTTAGCCCTAGTGCACAAAGAGGGGGACAAATTATTTAATTTTTCAATGATGTTTTAATCGCACTCGATTGCAGAATTGGCGGTGAATCTTCCTCTCCTGCTATAAATGTGTAGTGACCCTCTGCCTCTCAACATCCTCAAACCAAGCCCTTTGCAAATCCAACGGTCCACTTTGCAATTCCGAGATGGCAAGGGGTTGATGAGTGAGGCTGTTCTAGAGGATGGCACACATGCCCTTGTCCCGGAAGGGGTTGTTGGCATTCGGGACGGGAGTTACGAGGGGATCCTCCTTAGCGTGTTCCTCGCAATACGCCAGGAGTTCAGCTGCAGCCTTGGAGACCTGGAGAGAGAGAGAGAGAGAGAGAGGAAGAGAGAGAGAGAGAAAGAGAGGGAGAGAATGAGAGAAAGAGAGAGAGCGAGAAAGAGAGAGCGAAAGAGAAAGAGAGAGAGAGAAAGAGGTAGAGAGAGAGAGAGAAAGAGAGAGAGAGAAAGAGAGAGAACGAGGGAAAGAGAGAGAGAGAAAGAGAAAGAGAGAGAAAGAGAGAGAGAAAGAGAAAGAGAGAGAGAGAAAGAGAGAGAAAGACAAAGGGGAGATAAGTGTCACAAAATGGAGAGGTGGAACCCTGGGACATCAAACCCAATAACATCTCGCTGTCTCAAAGAGATATCACTGCAGGAGGCCATTCAACCCATCTACTCCATTGTGGGATGGACCAAGGTTGTACAGTGGCTCAGTGGTTAGCACTGCTCCCTCACAGTGCTGGGGACCCAGGTTCAATTCCAGCCTCGGGTGACTGTCTGTGTGGAGTGTGCACATTCTCCCCGTGTCTGCGTGGGTGCTCTGGTTTCTTCCCACAGTCCAAAGATGTGCAGTTTAGCTGGACTGGCCATGCTAAATTACCCATGATGTTCAGGCTAGATGGGTTAGTCATGGGGAATGCAGGGTCATAGGGATGGGTAACACCTGGGTGGGATGCTCTTCAGAGAGCTGGTGTGAACTCGTTGGGCCGAATGGCCTGCTTCCCATTCACAGAATCATAGAATCCTTACAGCGTGGAAACAGGCCCTTCGGCCCTAACTAGTCCACACCGACCCTCTGAGCATCCCACCCAGACCCATCCCCTTAATCTACACATCCCTAAACACAATGGGGCAATTTAGCATGGCCAATCCACCCTAACCTGCACATCTTTGGACTGTGGGAGGAAACCCACGTAGACACAGGGAGAATGTGCCAACTCCACAAAGACATTTGCCCGAGGGTGGAATCGAACCTGGGTCGCTGGCGCTGTGAGGCTGCAGTGGGGTCTAAGATTCAGGAGGTGGGGGATAGGTATCACCATGAGGAAGATGCTATTGAAGAGACTGCAAATTCAGCTCAGGACTGAGTTACATGCCCGCTCAACAGGATAAGGTGGAAGTGAATAGTGGTCTTGGTCCCATTCTCTCGTTCGAGAGATAGAAGCGACTGGTAGTGGTTTAACCTGAGGGTGACAATGCCTCAGGCAAGGGGAGAGGGTGAGGAGGAGAGTCTTTCATGGTAACTCCAGCCAGTGTGAGAGCTGCACCCAAACTGTTAACCTCCCTCTACGTTCCAATAGGGCCGTACAGCCGACTGAGCTAACCAGCCTCTGGGATAAGCTTTGGAAAACTAGTCATTCAACATCGTCTTGATGCTGTGTCCCAAGAATGTGTTTCAATTTGATGACTGACAGGTAAACTGGCTCAGTATTGCCAAGTTGCGTGTACTGACACGAGAGGTAGCGCTAGAAATCTAGGAGCAAGTGGCGGCCATTCAGCCCCTCAAGTGCCTTCTGCTGTTCGATTCAATTCCGACCGATCTGTGCCCCAGCCCCATTTGATTCCCTAACACTCCTCCTAACCAAAGTCAGAATCGAAAGCCTAACTCTTGTTTCTCTCCCTCCGTAGATGCAGCCAGGCCTGCTGAGATTCTCTGGGCATTTTTGTTTTTGGTTCAGATTTTCAGCATCCATGAGTATTTTGTCAAAAAAAATGTGCGGCTGGCAGTGAATTCCCTTGTTGCAAATTTGAGATTTCCGCAGACCCCTCATGTGAGGAAGTGTTTCCGAAATTCTGAAAGAATTTGGCCCTGAGGGGCTAAGTTCACATTTTTGAGCCTTTGCAGTTATTTCAATTAACCTGTTTTGGACATTCTACAACACATCTTCTTGGGGGGCTGGGGGGAGTGCGGGGTACAGGGTGAACCCAGACCTCCTGGCCTAGAGATAAGGACACTACCTCTGTGTCACCAGGGCCCTCAATTAAGTGGCTCACTTTTCAGAATCAACCCCTTCGCTGCAGGTCTGGAGCCATGACCAGGTGTAGGCCCGACCAGGTAAGATCAGCAGAATTCCACCTCCTGCTGACTGAACCAGGTGAGATGTTACCTCAAAATCACCGATAGTCCTGTGGCCAACCTTGGCTAGACGAGATTTCGATTGCAGATTTCTAATGAATTACGCTTAAATTCCACACAGGCCCCATCAAGATGTGAACATCCGGCTAGGCCTCATGGGACATTACCACAACCACCCAACCCCTCATCCATCCCTTGGCCCTGCCCTGTCCCCGGGGCCATCCTGGAAGCGAGCGGGTTTGACGAGTTGGGAAATCGATTCAGGAGGGATGTGGGGTTCGGGTTGGGGGGAGGAGAAATGTGGGCTCCAATCATGGGAGGGGGTGAGAGGGGGCTTCAGGAGGAAATGGAAGTGATGGGACCGAGGGGTCAGGAGTGGGTGAGGGCATGCAGCAAGCACGGTCTGCATTTACACAGCGCCCTTCGATGTTGGCAAACATCGCCGGGTTACCTCACCAGGGCTGGAGGCCGAGGAGATGGGAAGGTGGGGGTGGGAGGGGTGATGCGGAGGGTAGGGAGATGAGGGCGACTCAAACATGAAAGGCGGAGAGAGGGGCTTCGAGAAACAGGACGTTATCGGGAAGTTGGTCTGGAGTTTGGAGACTCAATAGGTGAAGGCCCAGTCGTCGTTGTTGGGGTGAGGGAATCGAATGGGTTGGGGGGGGTGCACAGGCAATTAAGTGGGGAGAAGGTGCAGATCAATGGGGAGGCCCCTGTGAGGCTGGAGGAGGCGACAGATAGAGGGCTAAGGGGTGCGGCGTTTTCACATTAAGGATTAGAATGAGATATCCCAATGGACCAGGAGTTGGCCAATGGGCACTGGCTGGTATGAGGACCTCGGAGTTTGAGGGCAGGCCAGCAGTTGCCCTATGCCCTGGTGGGTACCTGGCGCTGGGATTGCGGAGATTCCCGATTCCCTGGCTCTTCCCGGGTGAACACACGCCTCACCTGCATCCTGTCGATGTGGACCTCCAGCTTCAGCTGCTCCACGGCCATTCTGGCCTCTGCGATCTTAGCCGTCTGATTGGGCATCTCCTCTCGCTCAGGTCACAACCCCTCCACCTGGAAAACAGAGAAACCAGAGAAAAAGACGTGGCCCGTGGGGAGAAAGAAAGAAGGCGGTGCATTTGGATGGCGCCATTCGCCAGCTTGGCTTACACAAAATCCCCTCTACGGGAGAATGAGGTAGACTTCCATAGTGTCATTATGACAAGAGAAATATGGCACCCACGTCGTGCCCGCTTGATTGGCACCTCAGCTGGGTCTTAACAAATGGATGCAGCAGATAGGAATCTCGAAACCATCCACTACACAGCAACCTGCCTTGTTGACCATAATAAATAGGAACAAGTGTAGGCCATTCTGCCCTTTGAGCCAACTGAGCCATCAGCCATCCTCGCCCATCACCGACGCTCAGTAGCAGCAGTGTTTACCATCTACCAAATGCCCTGCAGAAATTCACCAAAGATCCTCAGACAGCACTTTCCAAACCCACGACCGCTTCCATCGAGAAGGACAAGGGCAGCTGATACATGGGAACACCACTCCCCTGCAACTTCCCCTCCAAGCCACTCACCATCCTGACTTGGAAATATATCGTCGTTCCTTCACGTCATGGGGTCAAAATCCTGGAACTCCCTTCCTCGCTCCTCTAATCTTCCCTGAAAAATATGGCAATGCCTTCAGCACCTCAATCCCCCCACCTCCCCCACAGTGAGTCACGGGAACATCTAGCCCCAAGAACATGGATGAAGTGTCCACTGATAGTGACAACCATCTCCAACAGGCCCAAGAGAGGCCAAGGGCCGAGAGTGGAAGGATGATGCAACAACCTACCCCCTCACCACCCCTGCCCCAGGCCGGGAGTGTGTGGATCTGACATTGGACAGTGCACCACTGCAGGAACCAGCCCTCCAGAATGGGAGGAAGTCATGCTCGGTGTTGAGGGACTACTATGGAAAAGGGGAGCCCCGGTCTCTGAATGTCAGCTCTCCAAAAGACAACATGCAGTGTTTCAAGGATCCAATGTTTTTGGTGTCTGCATGTGCGACAGTTTACATTGGGGTGTGTATGTGTGTGTGTGTGTGTGTGTGTGTGTGTGTGTGTGTGTG